GATAGGGAATTCACAGAGCCCAGCTATAGGCCCAATTCCCAAACCGCCCCTTACAACACTACCCCTACACACTACCCTACACATACCCCTACATACTACCCCTCCGTTTGCGTGTTCGCCACATTAGAGATGTTTGGAGTTTTATTTGAGTTCTTAATTTAAATTTGTGGTCTAAGAGATGCTGATTGGAAACCGTTGTTACATACAGTTACGGCACTTCCTGTTTCTGCCGGAGAGAGGGGAGTTTGTCCCAAAGCTTGCCGCTGTATTTATTCCCTCCATCTGACAGGAGGGAGCCTCGTTGAGCTGCGAGTGTCACTCCACAGAGTTCACTCCGTCACGGAGGGGGAGTGTGTAGGGGTAGGGTGTAGGGCGTGGTTTGGGATTGGGCCATAGTAACTGAACGAGAGAGTAATGTCAAATGACAGTACAATTGACCAATCATATCTTCCCTCTAAATGGGTGGGTTTTATTATCGCAGACTTTATGACAAGTTCCGCGCGCTGTGAAACTTTTCTTGTTTCCATAGCAACAACAACTTCCTGTCAACAACATAAACTTGCCTTCAAAATAAAAGCATGCCAAATTACACTTAAGACATACAACTGCAACGAAAAAACACAATGCAATATCCTTTTCAAATTCAAAGAACACAAATTGGGTTATTTACAGGTGATGTTTTGTGTGGTAGAGGGTCGCTTTCATTGATGCGTTTTGCACCCCGGGCCGTTGTTTTGATATTCCGCTGAAGTAGACGCTGTGACGTAATAACTCTTATTTTATTTATTTTTTGAGGGAAGGGGTGGGGGTCAGAGGGCCTAGGTATAAAAGTCACGGCTCGACACTGGCTTTTCGAAAGTGGTGTCACAGTGAAGAGGACAGCAGGAAGTGAGACAAGTCCAAATTAAACCCAGAGAGAAGTAAGAGGTACCCTGATCATCGCCTGGGTGAATTACAGGGCAAATGTGGTACAAAAAGAGCTTTAGTTTATCATAAGGACAAAACATGTCACTCAGTGCAACAGTTTGGGTCATTGGGGAGTTTATTATAGTAACAGGTCCACATTGTAGCTATATGGAAGGGATGAATAAGACCATACCTGTGTTTGGGATCAATGCCTTGTTGTTCTTGGGCTTTTATTGACATTAGGAAACAGAATCATTTTGCCCTTGTACTGACCCATATCATATGTCACTTCTATTTGATTTACCTTGGACATCTTCGCCTTGCCCTCTCCAGTCAGGAAGCCCAGATTGTTGATCTCATTCTGAACCACAAAGTTTTGCTCCTCACGTTTGAAGTTCTGGATTCAGAGGACAATAAAAAGAGGTTCAACAGGAAAGCCTTCCTCATGAAGCAGCATCCTTATATCAAATGGTGGTATTGAATCAATAGACTTACATGGGACTTGCACCAGAGGATGAAGATCTCAGCCACCATCCTGAAGAGCTCAGTGGAGTCTGCATCCGGCTCCTTCAGCCACCTGGACCTGGAATTAACCAAAAACATTTTCAATAGGGTTACACTTAGTTTAACTACATCTGATCAGGACATCACAATGAAAACAATCTGTGTGATAAAGCTCAGAGAATAGAGGAAATATTCATATCTTAAACTGAGCAAACCAATGCTTACTAAATCAATATCCTCCAATTCATTTTGTAAATAAATACATATCTTTCTTTTCCAGTACCTGTTGTTGTCCACATAACGGATGAGCATGGGGTAGAAGGCGTAGAGGTCTCTGCAGAGCACGGCAAACTCATCCAGGATGAGCAGCTCGGCCTCCTGGGTGTCACCTTTACTGTCCGCCTTCAGCAGCTCCTCTTCACCCACAACCTTTAAATGCATCACATCAACAACTCATCTCCGGCAATCCAATTATTATTCTCCTCACACATGACCCCTTTCAACTCAGTGGTAATAACCTCCTCCCTGTAAACTCTCACAGTGAAGTTAGTGAGGAAGTGTTACTCTGACTCAACATAATGTTCTTAGACTACTAGACAGTGTGCTCTCACCTTCACCGTCTTGTTCCTCAATTTCTCCAAGGTGGGCAGGAAGTGGGTTCTCAGCAGATGAGCTCCCGCCTTGCAGATGATTGGCTGAGAGTAGACTGGACAGAGACAATGGAAAAATATATATTTTGGACATCTGAGAAAATGATGCTTTCAAGAATACGAGAGGTTTCTGTGAGGGTTTGTACAAAAGGACAATTAGGGCCATTGTAGAAAAAAGTATTGTATATACCGTAATTTTCGGACTATAAGGCGCACCTGATTACCTAAAATGGCTTTAATTTGCTGTTGTAAATATGCAACTAGGGTATTAACACACAGACATTTTATTTTTGTCACAACTGCCATTCTATATTCATAACATAGCTTTACCAGCAATTGTACCTGTGTCCCTCAACAAACAATTATAATAAAAGCGAGAGATATTAGTTGTAGAATAGTTGAATAAATAAGGCACAGCATGAATTTTCCTTTCTCTGGTTTCCTTGTTTGTAAATGTGTTGAAAGTAAAATATTCAAATGTAGTTCCATGAAGTGTGATTGCCTGAGGCTGTTTTCTCCCTCAGCAACCAATTATGTTATCTGGCCTCTCCTGAACTCCCACAGAGGAATGAGAATAGAAAATGCAAACCGTTGAGAAAAACAATCCTACGTTATTGTATTAACCCTCACTTCCTAGATTGGTTTCCTTCATTAAAATTACTTTTCAGACTTATTGTTATTTTGCTGAAGTCTGACCTTTTTTTGTTTGACTCTTTCCATGATTGCTATGTTTTTCTAAACAGAAAAGGAATGAGTGGGTTTGCTTCTACTTCTGATGAGAATATAACTCACCTCTGAGTTACATTTAAATGCAAATTTCCATGATGCAATTCATTAAAAAGTCTCTCACATTTCCTGAAAAAACTAGGATATTCATTTATTACAAGCATTAACTATGCAAGTCGGTAAACAAACACCATCTGACCAGAGGGAATCCCTCTTTAAATGAGATATTCTTTCTCTCAAATCTTGAGCCTGGTCGTTACCTGCAATCCTCTTCATCCAGGGGGCGTCATCGATACCCAGGTTGTTGTTGAGGATCTTGAGGATGTTTGCCAGGATGATGCTGAGGTGTTCAGAGGTCACCATAGTGCAGCACTGGGCATCTGAAGAGGAGTTTTCCGGACCCTTCTCCCACCAGTATGACAGATAGTTACACAGCATGGGAAGGATCACCTCAATGACCTGCAGACAGACAGACAGACAGACAGACAGACAGACAGACAGACAGACAGACAGACAGACAGACAGACAGACAGACAGACAGACAGACAGACAGACAGAGACAGACAGACAGAGACAGACAGACAGACAGACAGACAGAGACAGAGACAGAGACAGAGACAGAGACAGACAGACAGACAGACAGACAGAAGGTGAACTGTCTGAATGACTGAAGGTGTATTGACAGTAGAGGCAATAAAGCACAGATTGTTTTGTTTGGGAACTAAAGCTCTAAAAAATGAATTTATAATGTTACTTAGAACTTTGCAGCAATGATGGATTTGTTGACGTTATGGTAATATGTCATGTTGGTGTGAAAATCTTAAAATAATGTGTGTATTTTTGCATTAAGTTTTGCAACTCACAAGAGACATATTTTTAAAAGTAAGACCAGAATTGATGAAGTACAGTTTGAGATATCTTTGATGTTAGTCCCTTAACATTGCATCCTACTGTACCCAGAATGCTGCTTTAAGCATACAAGCAGTGACCATGTTGCTAAGAAACAAAACACCTACTAAATGCTGTATCTATTCATTCAAATATCCCATCAGCCCTTCTGACCTGTGGCATGTCGGAGTAGCGAGCACCGGACTCTGAGACATCGCTGACGTCTTTCAGCAGTCCTTCAAGGCGAGGCATCGCCGGACACATCTCCATCACCGTGTCCGGCATACTCAGGACTAGAGAGAAATAACACCAAGAAAAACATTTAATAACCCTTCAAGAGACTCCATTTTTTGGGCGACTGAGGCTGCGAGGGAGTGCGGTCGTCTTTCAACCAGAAGGTTGTGGGTTCGATCCCAGCCCATGCAGCCAACATGTCGATGTATCCTTGGGCAAGATAGTTAACCCTGAGTTGCTCCCGATGGCNAGTATGAATCAGCCGCAGATTCCACGTTTACAATTCTGTCCTCAGCCTCGCAAACACGGTAGGAAATACTCAAGTAAAGTATAAGTACCTCAAAATTGTACTTAACTACAGTACTTGAGTACATGTACTTAGTTACTTCCCACCTCTGGTTGCACACATACAGCTTTTATGATTAAACATCAATATTTGTAATGCAAATACACGCATTATACTTTCATGTAGTTACAGAGGATGCAATGGATACTTATAACAAGCTGGTGTTTGGTTGTTTAGTCAACTTAATGCCTTTTCAAACTCACGGGCTGAAATATGACAATGCAGTCAACAAAACCATACTCCATTGAAAATTCTAAAATAATAAGAGTTACGACGAGTTCAAATCACACACTAAAAAACGCGATAATTGTCCATGTTGTTGTTGTATTAGCTAACAGCCAGGCGGAACTATTGTGCGATTGGAGTTTCCGGGGACGACGACGCAGTCGCACCCGGAAGTTACTTTGAAAAGAAAGGAGAGAGAGAAGACACAACTGAGGAGTTCAGGTGAAAGTAACGTCGAAAAAACAAGTAACCCAGCGGATTAACGAATATAAAAGATCTTACAAACGTCTTGCGATGTAGGACATTCTTTATCCATTGAGATATTGCTGTCAAGTGAGCACAGAGCTGATACACTTTAATATTTGCAGGTCTAAGCTGTTCAAATCTTAAGCCGTACGGGTAATAAATATACCTAAATATACAAAACCGATGGAGACCATTTAAAAGGAAAGGATGGCATTGTATTTGGTATAGTCCTAAGACTACCCAGAGGCATAGCTTCGGATTTATTTAAGTTGATCTTATACCCAGAAAAATTACTAAACCAATCTACCCTCTCAATGAGAGCTGGGACTGATATCTCAGGCTGGGATAAAAACACTATGACGTCGTCCGCATATAAACTTATTTTATGAATATCTCTCCAAGCTGCAAGCCATGTATGGAAGGCGTGGCTCTAATGATCTCAGCCAGTGGCTCAATGGCTAGCGCAAAGAGGAGAGGAGACAGTGGACAGCCCTGCCTGGTGCCTCTATGTGTTGGAAAGTACTCTGATCTTAATCCGTTAGTTACAACAGCCGCTTGTGGGTTGGTGTACAGTATTCTCACCAACAAAGTATTGCCAAGACCAAATTTGTCCAATGTGTAGAATAGGAAGGACCACTCTACACGGTCAAATTCCTTCTCTGCATCCATGGAAAGCACCAATCCATCTATAGACCTGTATAACGTTCAAAAGACGTCTTACATTGTTTGTAGAATTACGGCCTTTTATAAAACCAGTTTGGTCCTCTCTAGTATAGGCAAAAGGTCCTCCAAACGAGTTGCTAGAATCTTAGAAAGCAATTTCCGGTCTACATTCAAGAGTGCTATTGGCCTGTAGGAGGCACAAGATTCTGGCGCTTCTTTGTCTCATATTGTTGGAAGTTAATCTTAGAAAAAGCTCCATTAAATGAGGCTTGTCTGCTCTGAACAATACAAATCGTGTAAAATGTTTTGAAGCAGTCATTTATTAATCTATTTTCATATATCTGTTCCTTCTGAATCAACAATGGCAGCTCTCCCATAAAGTAGGTGATGGTGAGTTGATAAAGCTTTTTCCTTGTCTGTCAGTTCAATTGCTAAGTTCTTTTGCTCTCTACGTTTTTGGCGCCTCTTAGTGGATGTATAAGATATAATCAGACCTCTTGCATAGGCTTTGCAGGTTTCCCACAAAAGTGATGGATTGTCCGTTGATGTAGGTTAATCTTTAATTCAGTATAATAGGAAGGCTATATCCAGTCTCGCCTGGCTGGTTTATTGGATTTTTAAGCTAAGTCCACCAATGTCACAAGATAGTATGGAATGCATGTCAGCTTTAGGTAAAAAAATAGTCAAGCCTAGTCGACACCCATGGGGAGTATATTCCTTGTTAGCGGGGTGGAGTTCCTCCATACATCCTCAAATCCAAAATCTTTGCAAATAGAACAAAGAGCATTTGCTTGACGAGAGGGAGCATTAGTGCTATGAGGGAACCTGTTAGTGGGTTCATTATACAATTAAAATCACCTCCTACAATGACTGTATTAGCTGTCATTTCTGCAAGTTCCATAAACATATTAGTAACGGTATCTGGGGGATTTGCCCTCTGCCCTTAATTATCACATAACCCTTCTTATCTTTTATAATTTTACATTTTAAGGAGTCCGTTTAATATAAATATTTCCCATATGTCCATGTTGAAGCCTTAGTGTTCTGTGTCATCAAGGTGAGTTTCTTGGACTAATGCAATGTCTATATTTTCCTTCTGCAGAAAGGTAAATACTTTTCTGCGTTTTATGGGGCTATGAATCCCTCGTATGTTCCATGTACAAATCCTAAGTTTATTTGCCATTATCTAAACTTTTTATGTAGTTATATGACTGGGAATGTCCTGACACCTTCTCCTCAATAAACATAATGATATAGTGACTGAGCTGTGTAATAAAAACTAAATGGGGAAAAGTCCCTAAGCATGTAGGGAACTCACTCTTCCTCCTTCCCACAGCCGACAGCCATGGACAAACCAAGCGTTATACTCACGCCTATCCATAGAAACAGAACACGTTTCATTTTGCACACGGCAACATAACATGGCAAGTTAAATAAGAAACAAAATCAAAACAACGCCATGGAATTATGTGAGTACTTACTTCACAACATTAGACAAAAAGACGAATTTTCCCCCGGTCCCTCTAAAACCGCTGCGGATCAGCAGTCTGCGCACCAGTTTTCCCCAACAAAAAAATACCCATCTTCCTCAAGTCAAATTATCAGTGCCCGCTTATTATTCTTTGCAAGAACTGAATTGTCCAGCATTGGGGTATATGTTTCAGTTGGTTCCATCAAGCGATTCAGCAAATGCCCTCCGGTGTATCAAACCTCCTTTCCGTGCCGTTGATCATCACCTTGAGCGTTGCCGGGTATATCAGCGCGTAATCGATACTCTTTTTCTTTGCGTTTTTTTACCACGGCCGCTGAGTAGTCATTGAAGAAAGAAATCCTTGACCCGTGTGGGCGAGGCGGCCCGTCTCCGAACCAAGCTTCGGGCCTTTCAACACATTACACCTCCGTCCTCGGTTATCCAAATCATCGATGTGCTCCAGCATTCCGCTCACCTGCTTCTCCAGACGAGTCACTTTAGACTGTAACAAATCAGCCGCAGTTTCCACGTTTCAATTCTGTCCTCGGCACCAAGCGCCTGAATTTGAGTTGTTTGATCCTTTATGGCTGCAAGCACTGTGTCTATTTAAGCGTTGAGAATCTAAGTAATGTTTTCTGTAATGTTGTCCATTGCTTTTAGAATATTTGGATCTGTGTTACCGCTGCTGCTAGCATGTTCAGGTGCGCTAGCTTGTGCTCCCTCGCCATGCTCCTCGTCCTCCGTCTCGGTCGTCTTTGCTTTCTTTTCTCTGGTCATGTTGTCCGAAGTTTTTGAAAAGTAGTACTCCAGGGTCATTATATAGTAACAGCGCTCATAAACTGTGATAATTTTGCCATGAAATGTGATTAATAAACGGATTATTTAACAGTTATAGCCGGAGCTCAATGAAACACGTCTCTCCTCTACGCCGCCATCTTGTTTCCCACGTTCTTTATCTCTAATCAAGCTATACTATTTGATATAATGCTGCCAAGATGCCAGGGAAGTGCAGTTTCAACAACGTATGGCTTCTCAAGGATAAGTACCAATTATGGCTATCAAAAGACACTGACCCAAGACGTGCTAAATGCAGACTATGTTCTAAAATAATCAATATTTCGAATATGGGCGAGGCAGCGCTTGCTAGCCACATGAAGGGGACAAAGCACCAGACCGCAGCCGCTGTTGCTAGCAGCGCAATGCCCATAAGCACATTTATGAATGTTGACGCTGGTCATCAGAGGTGGGAGTAAGTCCTACATGTAGAAAGTCATGAGCAAGTCTCAAGT